ACGGAATGTCACTTGTCTCCCATAAAGTAGAAAAAAAAAGCATCGTGGAAAGCTTTAAACTTGATAGTTAAAAAAAAATAGACAAAGAGAGATAAGCAGGGGGAAAACTGTTTATCAGAAAGACTTTTTTTTTTCCCCCTGTTTTGCTTGGCGGCAGGTCTGGTTCCAAATTAGCTGGGTGAAGGTAACTGCTTGTTTGCTTGCTAGGGGCCTTAAGGCATGTCTGAGAAACCCACACAGACAAAGCCTTCTCTGCACGAAGGACAAGTTCAAAACCGGCCCAGGGAGCAGCTCCTATGACAGCGTGCGTCTTCCCTGGATGCGTCTCTCCACCTGCATCTACCTAAGCTAATGACACGATTTAGCTCTTTATTTTCCCTCCTCACTTTCGTAGAAAGACGTTTTTAATTTAGCTGAAGAATTACACAAATGTATTTTAGAGACATAAATCCATATAAAAAATATGAGCTAATTAAAACATTGCACTCCCTGTCGCTCATGGATTTTCAATTTAGCGAAAGAAAAAAGAATTGCATCTGGTTAAATGAAAAGATGATACTGATGGCAGATTGGAGTAAATGAAAAATAATGTTACTCTATATTAAAGCACCAAATTATACACGTCAGGATTGAGTACTGCAAAGTCCAAATGAGGGGCAAGTGTAATGGGGGGTCTCAGAAGTGTTGACTCGCTTGGGGAGTTAAGCCAGATTGCCTGGATAAAATGCAAATGTTATGAACAACAATGCATTGGTTTTTTGATGTTTGGAAAAAACTAGGTTCTTTTATTTGACCCTATTTTTCCTAGTTCTTATTTTGTTTCCCCAGAGTGAATTCTTGAGATTCAAGAATTACTTACACACGTACACATACATGGTATTTTAAAAAGTTCATGGGAAATGGAACTAAGAGATAGGCTTATTTGGTGCCCAACATTTTGAAAGCATGCAGTCTGTCAATCGCATGCATTGTCCAAATGCTCTTTAAAGACCTCTCCTACATATGGATTTCAAAATTTAGGGCACCAAGAAAGCTTACTTTTTATTTCCATTTCCATGATCTTCCAGAACTCTGTGTGTGTGATGTTTCTCACTGGAATGTGGCAGGTTTTTTTGGTTACACACTACACAGTCAGTGGGTAATGACCTGACAGTGCCAGGGTATGAGAAGAAAGAGAACCAGGACGCTCTGCTTCACTCTTGAGGTCAGTTTCAGGTCTCCAGTTGCCATATTTGATTTATAGCTGGGGCCTTCAAGAGGCTCAGGAGAGACCTCATGCTCTCTTCAGCTCAATGCCATATTTTGCGAACTTTTCTCTGAGCTCTTGGAGGCACATCTGGCCATCGGTAACACGTGGGAACCATGAGCTGAGGAGGAAGAAATGAAAAAGCAAAAAGAAATTGGACGGGCCTGGGTCGGTTCTGGGTTCCAACTGTACCTCAGGGATTCCTGTGTGCTCTGGGATAAAATGACAAAACTCCGGAGCTTCAGGTGACCCCTGCAAAAGTTGAATAATGCCAGTAAGCATGGCTAGCTCACAGGAAGAAGCACAGAAATGGTCACTTTGCCTTCGCTGCTCTCACCAAGCAGCGGGTGGAGGTTGTCATGGGGCACGTGGTTTAGTCTCAGTTATTTCTATCTGAGAATGTCCTGGCAGTTCTGTAGGATTTCATGAGAGGCTGTGGAGCACGCCATGGACCCGCAGAGCCCAAAAGCTCACTCTGTGCTCTTATGTAATCCTCACAGCCTTCCGATGAGAGCGACACTCAGTTCACGTTTTGTAGACCCAGAAGTGAGGGGTATAAGCTAGCATGAGTGGCTGAGTTTGGGTCTGAACCAGGACCAACATCTTCCACCACCAGTATTCTTTCCAATGCTCCTCTAAACCGCTGGTCCCAGTGTTGGCTCTGCCTGGCCCTGGGCAGCGGCCTCCTCTCGGCTGCTCCCTTCAGCACTGACCCCAGGTGTCTGCCACTGTGCACAGAGAATCCAGAAACAAAGCTCATCGAACACCTGCTGCCAGGCCCAGTAGGCACGGCTGCTGAGTCACTATTATATTTCCATTGCTACATAGTTTGCTGCATTATAAAAGTACACCTGATATTTGTTGAAGGATGAAAGGGATGCATACAGAAAGGAACAAACAAGCCAAGGGAGGAGGGAGGGAGGATCCGAATGGACGAAGTAGTGGTTGATATCTCTTATAGGCATTACTTAATCCAGACTACTTGAAATTTTCTATACTACTGTATAATCCAAGTTGTTAGGGTTTCCAGACCTAGCAAATAAAAATACAGCATGGACAGTTAAATTCAAACCTTGGATAAATAAGGAATGTTTTTTTTAAAATACAAGTATGGTCTATGTATATTTGGGACATGTTTTTACTAAAAACATACATGTTATGTGAAGTGCAAATTTCCCTGGACATCCACCCTGTATTTTATCTGGCAGCCTTACACGCTTTTCACTCAAAATGTATTTTTATCAAGTAAGTCATCCATGACAAAGGTGGCAGCTCATTGGACTAGAATTACTGCACACAATCTCAAGGCTAGGTGGGCTGTTAAACTTGTACACTGCATTACATGGTAATGACGATAATTTCAAGTTCTGGTATATCTTAGACTCATTGATTTGCTCTCTGTTTAATTTCTATTATTCCAGAGCACATGAATGTTAAAGTGATATACAAACACATATTGAAATTACTTCAGATTACATCCTAATGTCAGGATGCACGTCTAATAATCTCTACAGAATTTTTGATGAAAAGTTGTATCTAATATTTTGCAGAGCCTTTTCATAATGGTTTAAGTTATATCTCATATAGGAAAGCAAATTCAGGTCAACATTTGTAGCTTTCAGAGAAGGCAGAAACGGTAAAGCTTCTAAACCGCCCATAGAATCCCGTCCATGCTTTTGAAAACAATCATATCAGTTTGCACCGTGTGTGCTGCCAGGCACACCCACCAGGATAGAGTTCCAGATAACAGTGAGGCCATCCCATGAGCATTTAGAAAGATAATGTACATGATTCCAAGCAGTGTATAAGATGGCACACAGATGCTGTTCTACAGGGCGCCTGATGGGTGGGGGCAAGGAAAGCACCACTGTACTCCCAGGAGACCCGTCCCAGCAGACCAGCCCTGCCACCACCTTCACCACCTGTTCTGTATACGCAGCACATGCACATTCTCATTGTTTTGGAAGAATTCCAAATTCTCAGTTCTATTTTTCTGTGACTTTCCCAGAGTCGCAGCATAATGGCGCTCACATAAAGCAGACAACGGCACTTTAAAAGGGTTTCTTGGAAATCCAGGTTAGAGCTACTCATTCTGCACAGATATACAGACGTGAAAACAACCATCTGATCTATGTATTTTAACAGATTTTAAAATACCTTTTGTGTACTTTCCTCAAATTATTGGTTTTCCTTAATTTCCTTACAAGGGTATATTTCAGATTTTACCTGTGAATGGATGTAAGCTTTTTCTCCCTATTTATACGTGACAGTTAAAAATGGTAGGAAATCTTGCTACAGCACAAATAAACATCCTTATCTGTCCTCATCACCCTGGGTTGAACTCACCGCTGCTGCACTGGAACCATCTTTCTTCTCTCTAGGTCTACCATGTATGTCCGCTTTCTTATAACTATCCCAAAAGCTGAAGAGTAAGTTATTTCCAATTCAAAATGCTATAAAGCAAACAAACCGGATGTCACAAAGCCCAAGCTCACATTTCAACTTTTTCTTTCAATCGTGCAAACTCAACTAACCATGCTTGGAGAGTAAGAGGTGCTATGCCAGCAACGCGTTGAATTCCCGTGATAGAAACATGCAAGCAACCTAACGACCGAAAGGACTCTTCACTTGAGCCCAGGTAGCTGTTGAAGTTATAAGACGTTCTCATTGGCTCTCCATATCTTATTATACATGAATGAATAGCTAAGGAAGAGCAAATCTATAAGTTGGTAAGACACAAACTGGACTGGTCACTGCCCAAGGTTTACTTGAGGTGTGGAAAAGTTGAGGGACAACATGAAGATGCATGAGGGGGTATCACCTTGGTTGTGGGACGGGAGGGAAAGGACGCAAAAAAAGTACAGGTGGAAGACATTTGTCAAGACCCAGCCTCCACTCTCGCGAATGGCTACTGTTGCTAACGTGCAAAGCTCACTGACCTTCGTCCTGTCCCGGCTCCCGTGTGGCACAGGTGTTCTAAGCATCATGACCATAAAACCAGGGTCCTCTGTGATATGTGATGTTGAAGCTGCGGGATCCCAGGCACTTGACAACAGGTACGCAGGGGGCCACTGGTTTATACAAAAGAAAACCTCCAGGGCATCTATTGCACCTACCTTTATCAAAGGTGGGCTCAGACACGCCTCTATCCTAAAGGAAACCAAAGCAGGAAAGAAACGCACAAGCTGTGTCTGCTTTTCACCTCCGTGTTCTCTACTGGCCCCTTAAGGGCTCAGGCGCTTTTCTAGAAAACTCCATATAAGAAACAAAAGAAAAAGGGAGGTGGAAAGCAGCGATGACCAAAAGCGAGCTGTAATAAACATCAATTATAAGGAACAATAATAAAGTCAACTTTCAATTACTGGGTTGATGGAGAAATCTCCTTATAGTGACTGTCCTAAGTCACTCTTGCATGTGTAGTCTGCTGCTCATTTTTTTTTTTTTTAAAGCTCACTTTAGGGGAATGCAATGGTGAGCGAAGCCTGTACTTACTCATTAAAGTAAAGGCAAAGCATGGCTGGACCCTGAAGCTGATGCCTTGAGTGTTTAAAGGTCTAACAAAGCACAATGATCTGTGAACTTCACCTCCCTAAGTCCAACTGATTATATTCCCCAACTTGAAACTGGAGGACTAGGGCTGCTGTAAGCATGTTTGGGCCTCTGGGAGGCACTGGCTGCCTCCGAGCAGACCCATCTCCCTTTAAGAAGTCGCTCACCAGGTGCCTGGGGCAGTCGCCTGGGAGCAAACCCGTACCTGCAGGGCTATTCTTCATCCAGGTCTGCTACAAACTGTGAATGGTGTTCGGGTGACTTGCTGTGCGTTTTGCTTAGGTGGAGTTTTACTGCATGTTTGCTCACAAATGTCCGACAGCACAACTTACACTTGAATTTAGAGTCCGTGTCCTCTTCGCCAGCTATTGTTTCCGGAGACCTCTGAGCCGATGATACCCGGGAGATCTCTTGTTCCACCTTGCTTTGTTGGTCCACGGCCATGCGGGTCATGTCCTTCATTTGGAAACCCAGGTGAGATTCCAAGTGGCTGATGTAGGTAGAAGGGGTTCTAAACTGGGAGGCACAGTCACTGCAATAAAAGATGGGGTGTCCTTTGTCCATGTTTTTCAGAAACTTTGTCCCGCCAGTTTTCCGGAGCTGGTACTTGACGTTGGCCAGCCAGTGGCTGATGGTGGTCATGGAGAGTCCCGTGAACTTGGAGATTTGCATCCGCTCTTGAGGACCCAGATCGGACAGCAGGTATTTGCCTTCTGATGTCTGGAAGAGGCTCGAGGCGAACTGAGCTTGCAGAATCAGAAGGTGCTGGGGGTTCCAGTTGGACTGCCGGCCTTTCCTCTTGTGCAAAGTTGAGACTTCGCTGGAGACGTCCTCAAAGCGCCTGACATCCATCTCCAGCTTCATGGGAGGGACCCTGGAGGAGGCGGCCGGCTTTGGCGTGGTCGCTTTGGGGAGGACTTTGACCATGTCCGCGATGTCGGACAGAGCGTGCTTCTGAGGGGGGGACGTGCAGGACTGTGCTTGCGAGGACTCGGCTTTCTTGCTTTTGGACTTGGTCAGGTCGATGGGCTGATCGTTCTCAAACAGGTAGCGCCTGGACACACTGGCTGGCCTCGCAGAGGCAGGGCTCAACACGGGCTTGTCCACGACACTGAGATTCGACTTGTGGAACAAGGGCATTGTGCTTGAGCTTGGGCTGGCACAGGCAGGAGAGCGTAGGGGTTCCGTGGCTTTGCCCAGGTGATTGTTCAGGACGGACTGCAGGGCACTGAGTGGGTTGATGCAGGGCAGGGCCGGACTGTGGTTGGCAAGGGCACATCCGTTGCTGAGCGAAGATGCCGGCTCCAAGGCCTGAGGCTTCTCCTTCTCGCTGCCCTCCATGGCTAGTTTGTCTTCTTCCTTCAGGGCACACAACTCCACCTTCTTGGGTTCTGGAGGTGCTTCGCTTCTGGGGAAAGACTCCCCCTCGCTCTGGCTGAAGGACGAGGCCTCAGGGTGGGGGCTTTCTTTCCCACACTCCTTCGTCACTTCCTCTTTGTCTTCCGGTTCCTTCTTCACGTGTGCGTATGGGGCCAAGTTGGCCGGCACGGAAACGAGTGGCATGACTTTCCACTTTGGGGCAATTGGTCGTAACTTGTTGGCGAGATTAGGCCGAATCTGCAAGACCTGGGACCCCAGCGGCAGGGGCGGCTTGCTGCCTTCTGACAACTGGTAGGCTGCGTGGATGCTGGGGTACGCACTCCAGCTGGGAGCCCCGTTCTGAGCCTTGTTGATGGCTGTGGTTACAGTATTTTCCAATGACTTCAGAATGTCCCCGCCACCCTTGGAACCATCTTCCAAGTCCTCCTCCCTTAGGTACTGGTATTTGATGGTCGGGTCCAGTGGTTTTTGCAGAGGATCTTCGTATTCCTCGTTTTTCACTGTTTTCTCATCCTTGCAATTGTCCTCGGCTTTTTCCTTTTTGCTCTCTTTCTTCAGCTCGGTTGAGGAGGCCGAGCAGTCGGACGCTGAGTTACTGGATGGCTTGGGAGTGAGGGGGTCGCTGTTGGGGGCTTCCGACAATGACTGCATTTTCTCCACGGCGAGTGGGTCTAGGACCAGCTGCTTCCCCTTCTTGGATGCAGTGCTGGTGACCTTGAGAAAGTGACCAGTGACCATCATGTGGGTGGTGAGCTGCTGCAAGGTGTCGTGGGAGCTGCCACACTCCATGCACTTTAAGATCTGGGACTTGCAGGCCTCGAACTGCCAGGTGTAGCTGGCGCCGTTTTGGTAGCCATAGCGGTTGTTGGAAGACAACTGCAGGCTGGCATTCTTCGGCGAAGAAAAGGAATCCGCAAAGGACCCCGTGGTGGAATCGGGGGAGCACGGCCGATTGACGTCAAAAACACGCTTCTTCGCCGGGGTGACCATTTTCGATGAAATGGTTGGAACTGGCTCCTTCAAAGGCACTTTTTGGTAATGTTTTGTTTTGATCATGTGGACGCTCAGATCCTGGAGGGAATCGAAGGAGTCGCCACAAAACATGCATTTCAGCACCTTCTGAGCATCCTCCTTGTCCGTGTCCTGGAAAGCCCTTTTCCGGGGCTTCGAGTAGCTCGCGGGCCTTAGCTTGTCCTTCTTGCGGTTGTCATCTTGGTAGTGGCCCGTCTCGTTCATGTGCACAGTCAACTCCACCAAGGTGTCATAGGCAGCGCTGCACTGGCGGCAGCGGAACCTGCTGGCGCCGGTGAACACCGTCCCACACACCTTGTTGCTCTGCCGGTACAGCTGCACCGAGCTGAACAGGCTGGGCTTGGAGACGGATCTCGAAGGCAAGTTCTGCTGCAAGCTTTTAGAGAGCGCATCTTGGTGCCAGTCAAAATCACTCTTGGTGTTGCCATTTCGGGTGTCACAGTTCCGCCTCTCGCTGCCAGACAGCTTGAAGCCGAGGCCCAGGCCCGACCAGTAGGAATCGGACAAGATGTTGGCGTAGACGGCGGTCATTTTATCCATGCAGTTGTGGGCTTCGCTGGGAGCCTTGGCGTGGGCGTTGGGCCTCTTGTCCGAGGCATCTCGGCTGCAGACACTTTTGACGTCCGCCACCTGGTCGCTGGCATCGCTCAGCAGAGATTCGTTCTCGGCGTCCTGGTTGGACAAGTGACTTCCTGGGGAGTTCTGGTAGCTGAAGCAACCTTTGTGCTCTGGGCCCGTTTCTAGCTCCTCGTCTGTCCCCGTGTCATTGCTGCCCTGAAGCTGAGCCACGGAACCACTGTCCTCCTCCTCCTCCTCTTCCTCTTTTATTTCCTCCTCTTCCTTCAGTTGTTCCTCCTGGGCATAGCCTGGAAGAGAAGACGGCAAGATGAAACAGCAGTAACAGGTTACACATGGCATTCCGATTCCTCCGCTTAGACTAAGTGGTTCCCAGGCCAAACAGAACGGCAATTTAATCTTTGCTTTTATGTACAGTGGGCCACAGAAGCAGGGGGGAAAAACCCAAATGATACCTTTTGTGCCATCTACTGCCTCCTTCTTTAATTGGCAGGGCTTATCATTCTTTATGAATGCCGAGAATCCCAAGTTAACAATATTCATGTTTCAGGAAAATCATTCTAATATTTCTCTAATGAATCACTAGCTAAATTCATGTGTGTGACTTTCAGGAAAGCAGGATTGAAATGCAAATCCTATTACAGTGCCTTCTCCACAGGGAAGGGTGTTGGCTCAGGAGAAATCCAAGACTGAACCCTTGCGGACTCGGGGGTGGGGTTAACCAAGGCGCTGGGGTCTACTGGTGTGTAATCATCTCAATAAATCATCCTTGAATGCTTAGAAATAATTTGGAGGCATAAGCATCATATTTGTGGTAACCGATGTCTTTTTGTTCTAACGTTTCTGTCTGCAGAGTCGCACGGCAGGAAGAGAGATTATGAGGTATGCAAATAAGGTCTTCCAGAGATAGCTGAAAAATTATGTAAGCTCAGCAAATACCCTGATTTAAAAATAATAGCAAATGGTGTTAGAATGGGAGGTTTGGGGACTAGCTTATGATTCTCAAACAGGTTTATGAAGACCTTTCCACACGAGCCTGCAAATGCCCTCTCGATCCTGTGCCTGTAATTTCAAATGCACTGTGATTTGTGGGTGCCCGTCATGAGGTGCCAATTATACTTTTGATTTGTGGATGCAAAATGCCATTGGGGATGCATGCTTTTCCTTCTCTGAAAGGATTTAGGGCCAGTAATTGCATAGGGAAAATGAAGACATGAGGGAGCCGGTGCAAAGAGAATTAAGGGGCCAATGTCCATCAGTGGCGACAGGATGGTGCCTGCTGGCGCCCACGGGCTCATTCTCTTCACCTGGCCTTCCTGGGGCCACGCGGATAAAATGCAACCAGAGAAAAAGGAGAACGGGTCTTGGCTTTGCAATGCCTGCATGACCTTCATGCAACTTCTGTCGATGGCAGGCAGCTAACTGGGGAGAAAAGCTGAGAGCAGATACTGCCATTTACTTTCCCCAAGGGGACAGAGAGCTGAGGTCTGTTTGGTGAGGCAGGAGAGAGAATTAGAAGAGAAGGGGCTTCATTAAGAATAAGGAAGGGGGCGCAGTGCGGTAGCTAAAGTCCTCGCTTTGCAGGCGCTGGGATCCCATCTGGGTGCCAGTTCTAATCTTGGCAGCCCCACTTCCCATCCAGCTCCCCGCCTGTGGCCTGGGAAAGCAGTCAAGGACAGCCCAAAGCCTTGGGACCCTGCACCCGCGTGGGAGACCCAGAACAGGCTCCTAGCTCTGGATCGACTCAGCTTCAGGCCTTTGCTGCTGCGTGGGGAGTGACTCAGTAGATGGAAGATGTTCCTCTCTGTCTCTCCTCCTCTCTGTATATCTGACTTTCCAATGAAAATAAATAAATCTTTTTTTTAAAAAAGGGCAAGGACACCAAAGACTGACAAGGATAATAAAGATGAAAAAATCACTCATTGGTAACTAGCAGCTCCTAGGTACTAAGCTAGGTACTGAGCTAGGTACTGAGCTAGGTACTGAGCTAGGCACTGAAAACACACACTTCCCTTGTGTCTAATATCCACATGAAGTAGCAACTGTTATTACTCTCATTTCACAGATTTGGAAACTGAGGTTTGAGGATTAGAAAATTCACCCAAGGCCACACAGCTTGCTGCAGGGTGGCAACAAGACCCCAAGTGCCTTATCCAGGAGGCTCTGCTCTGACGAGACTTACAGGTTCAAGGTTAAACAGCGGTATTTGACTGAAGTGCCACCACAAAGATAACCAGCCTCACGGGGAGCGCCGTGGAATGCCAGCCACAGGAGCCCACAGTTCCAAGGGCATGACACCCTTAAGGCAAGCCGAGACATGAACATTCACTCCAGCCTCGAGCTTGATGCTTGTGTTTGTCGCTACTGCTGCTGCCGCAGTGTTTTTGCTCTCCCAGCATGTCAGTCTTTCCCCGTTTCCGTAAGTTGAAGAAACAAACAAAAAGAAACTATTTCATCTACTCAAACAACCATTAATAACTGGTTACTGTTCGCCAGAAAACTATAGCTTAAAACAACAAAATGACTGAATTAGGCCATTGTTCTTACTGCATTTGCTTTTTCCTGCACTAATTTGTTATAATTATAAATTATTTCCTGGACTAACAGTGTTATACCATTAAATTCAAGAGGAGAGTCTGTGTTACAGAATTAATAAATGGCTTTTACTGAGCCAAATAAAATATTCCAGGTACTTAAAAAAATTCTTTATTTGAAAGGAAGAATTACATTGAGAGAGAGGACACACACACAGGGAGAGAGAGAGAGAGAGAGGAGAGAGAGAGAACTTTCATCCATTGGTTCACTCCTTAGACAACTGCAAGGACCAGGGTTGAACCAGGCAGCAGCTAAGAGCTTCTTCTGGCTCTCCCACATGGGTGGTGGGCCCAAGCGCCTGGAACGTCCTCCATTGCTTTCACAGGCCATTATCAGGGTGTTGGATTGAAAGTGGAACAGCTAGCACCTGAACTGGCCATAGGTGTTGCAGGCGGTAGCTTAAACTGCTGTGATACAAAGCTGACCTCCTAGCAACATTTTCCAATTAAATCTGGCCTCTTTTTTTTTAAAAGTAAGTTTTTATTTATCTGAAAGTCAAAGAGACAGAGACAGAGAGAGACATCTGACCACTGGCTCTTTTCCCAGATGTCAGGGCTGAGCCAAACAAAACCGGGAGTGACTCTGCCACATGCTGTAGACACAAGCACTCGCACCACCTCCTGCTGCCTCCCAGGCTAAGCTGGCATCGAATCCAAGCCAGGAACCCAGGCATCCCAAGTGCCACAGCACAAGAGCGGCTAGGGCGCTATTACTCTACGACATGGGCAGGGTCCTCTGGCTTGGGGCACGGCTGCTCCAGACAGATCAGTTTGAGGGTGCATCAGTCAGTTCAGGGAAAATACAGAATTAAGGAACATGTCCACTTTTGTCAAAATTGCCATCCTTGCACTGCTTTTTTCCTAATATATCACATTTTCATGGACTTATTTTTTCTTAAAGATTTATTATTTAATTTTATTGGAAAGGCAGATACACAGAGAGAAAGAGAAATAAAAATCTTCTATCCACTGGTTTGCTTCCCAAGTGGTCCCAATGGCGACACTGTGAATCTAAAGCCAGGAACTAGGAGCTCTTCCGGGTCACCCACGTGGGTGCAGGGGCCCAAGGCTTTGGGCCATCTTCCACTGCTTTGCCAGGCCACAAGCATGGAGCTGGATGGGAAGCAGAGCATCCGGGACACAAACCGGTGCCCATGTGGGATCTGAGTGCATGCACGGTGAGGGCTTCAGCCACTAGGATATCCGAGCCCTCCACCGGCTTTCTAAAGACCTTTGTGGGCATGGATCTCAAGTGTTTGAAGTTTATCAAGATAAACGACCCACAGACATCTAAAATACTCTCGTGTAGTCGCAGTGTGACTACATCAACAAAGAAAAGTGTGTGTGACTGCATGCACACACATACAATCCCGCTATGCACGAGCATGCTACACACCCACTAAGGCAAGCGAAGCCCTGGCAGGAGGAGGAAAGGGGGCTTCGAGACCGCTGTCTGGCAAGCCTGTTGCCATTTCCAGTGTCCAGCTCCCCGCCTGGCACTTGGCAGGGGGTTGGGAAATCCTTTACATGATTGCCTGTGTGTGCGAATGAAATATACATGCGTGTACACATGGTCAGACACACACACAGTCTGCCCAGCCAAGGTAGTCATTTTCATACAAGAAGAGGAAGTGTCTTTTTTGTTTTTCTGTTGACATTTGGAAATGTAGCTTCGCAGACCAGCTCAGCCTCACAATCTACTTTGTCCTAAATGCATTCCCTGAGAGAAAAGTCGGAGACAGCGAACGCCTCCCCCACAATACAGAGAAAATTTTCTGCTTAATTAGGCATTGACATGTTTACTATAACCTTTACAGGAGAGTAACTCGTGCTGAGAGCCCCTTTTTGTCTGCTCTCCTCGCAGCACAGGCTAACTCGCGCACCCGATAAGGTGCCACGCCGAAAAGCCTCGCAGAAAGAGAGCCGGAGCATCCGTCAAAGCGAGTGTCTCAACGGTGGCTCGGGCTTCCAAGGAGTTTTTAAAAAATACATTTTAATATTGTACATTTAAAACTGTTCACTTGACTTAAGTGGTTTTGTTTGCCATCGGCAGTCACGGGTGGAGGGAAGGCAGCCAGCGTGGGTGATCCCGCTGTATAATGAGTATTTCTTTTCTCTCTCTCACTATTGATGATCTGTTTCAGAACATTTTGCATCGTGGTATAAATGAATGAATGGCAAATGCATTCTGATGAATACTTATTCAACACGAGAAAATTATCACGATTATGCTAAGACACAATAAGAAAGAAGGGTTTCCTATCGAATGTTTTGATTGATTTTGGATTGAGGATTAAGCTTCGTGGTGGCACACATTCCCTTTTCCAACCTAAGCTTCTTATCCCACCCCACACTGCTGTCTCCGACCACAGGAAATGACGCCTTTCTAGGGACATCTGATTCAAGTGTGAACCCTGCCAGTTCTTTGAATGGCCAAGTGAGGCCAGTTCCCTTGTACTCCATGCTCACTGCTCAGCCTGGGCTGCCACATTGTGCATCATGGTGACTCCATGAGATGGCGCCTCCTCTGGAAGGCTTTCCTGATTGGGGCTCCACTTCTCTGTACACCTCCTGGTCACAACAGCCTGTAATCCCATGGCAGTCACAAAACTCTGAAATGATCCTGGCTATTGTGACTTAGTTGTTTCCTCCCACTGAATGAATGTGACCCGGAAGCCCCTGCACCCATCCTGTCC